ATGAGATATTGAAAGGTTTTCTATTAACATGACGGCTATAAATTCTTTACACAAAAATTCTAATAGGTCATGTACCAATAGTGGTTGATGTAAATAATGATCATCATGCCAAGCAAATGTTTTAATGAAGTCGATGGAAACCGATGTAAGCATTCTGACGGCCGTAGTAGTGTCGACCGTACTAGTAACTATTACGTAGTCATAGCCTGGTAAAAGTCGGTCTTTTGAGGAAGCTCAAACTAAATAGACCGTGGGTGTGTGATGTGCGTTTAGTTCTGGCGGAGGTCGGGGTCTGTTATGACCATAGTGTGTAGTCATCGAGAGGATGATACATACGGTGATCCCGTAGTGGATGCACCTGGATTGTGGAGCAATTGTGATTGCTGGTTGGCTTGTAAAGCCGTGGCCTAAGAGTGGTTTACAAAGGTGCTAGTAAATTTGAAAATTAGTTTGATTGAAGTGTTGAATGATGTTGGTACATGGCTCTAGATGACTGACGTTATTAGTTAAATTAGAGATAAATAGTGACTTGGAGTTTAAAAAGAAACAAAGGTGTTAGCGTTAAAGCTTTTCGTTAGAATAAAGATGATTCAGATTCAAAGTTAAGTTTTATCTGGTCAGGATTGACCGAGTCGAGCAAGTATTTTCGTTGATTATTTGGTTGCAGGCTAACACACGGCTAACACACGAGGGCGTGTGCATGCAGGATGGCCGTGTCGAAGACGAGTCATAATCACAACTAATCGGAACGCGAGCGCCACCTTTATGGGCTCGACAGAGTCTACGTCGTGACATTCGACCGGGCACGGCTGAGTTACGCTTGGTCGGTCGCACAGTGAACACTAGTAGAAACTGTCTTGCGTTCCGTATTGTCTATACATGGTAATAGTGAAGTGGTATATGGCTGTATAGTGAAGTGCTGTTTAACTATGTACAAAGTGATTATTGTTAATTTGAAATACAACTGTGATTGCATCGACTTTCATTTGAACCAACACTTCCCATATAACGCCCACCGTATAATTCATGATAAAATAATGGAAAATAATAGAGAAAATTAATGTTGCTTCGATATATCTTTTCAAATAGACTTTACCCACAAGACAACTAAACAAGACAATTCCATATAACAGCGACGTCAAAACTGATTATCGTTTAGGAAGTGTAAGCCTGAGCTTATTATAACTTTTCAAAGATAACCGAAAGTATGAGGAGTTAATATTTTAAGCTTAAAGTATAAATTCAATGAAATTGCTGCATTCTAGAGTATTTTCGTTGTTATTTGTACTAATAGATTCTTATAGATATTTTTTTTAAATTACCGACTTCGTAAAAAGAGGTGTATTTACTAATATGCAATATATTGGACACGTCAGCTTATATATATGCAAAATTATAATATGGTGATTTTATGACATAATCATTTTTCTCAATTCAATACAATTTTTAAAATTGTTGTTTTAATGGTTCTGATAAATGACTTGAAACTATATGACCATGTAGTTACCATGTAGATTGTTTCATTTAAATCAAGCAACTAGTGTTGAAGTTACGACAATTTTAGTTTCCGTCCTTTTGAAATATTTCGTGCGAGCGAGCTATGCTCACGTGACGTCATTTCACAACGCAGCGTGCTCATAGTACACTTATTCATTACTTTGCTATCGAATATTCCGCATGTTCGACCAACAATCACGTTTTTAACTTAAGTTTTTATTGGTATCAGTGTTACAATAGTTTTAATATTAGATATGGATGACAGTTTTGAAAAATAACAATCTAATAACTTGGATGAAATAGACCCGGGTTAATGGTTGATCACTATTTAATCGACTTCTAAAAAGTAGGAGGTTCTCAATTCGTCGGATTTTTTTATGTATGCTCACCGGTTACTCGAAGACGCCTGAACCGATTTGGATTTTTTTTTGTTTCATAGGGTATACTTTTCAAGTCCCATCTAAATTTTATCAGAATCGGTCGAGCGGTTTTTAAAAAAATCAAAAATGAATAATTTTCTAAAATAAATTGTTTAATCGAATATGTTATTAAAAAACTTTCTTCTTATAAATTACCTGCTTATTACGTCTACACTTAAAATGGAAAAATAAAAACTTTAAAACAAAAAACCGACTTTCTAGCATTAAAATGTAAAAAAAACTAAGCGGGGGTTTTAATTTAGAATAGATACCTAATCAGAAATCTTATGTAATATAACAAGCAATAAATATAGTAATCATAACCTGAACATTATGTGCCAGAGGTACATAATGTACAATTAGAGGAGAGGAGTGGAGAGGAGAAAACAGAAGAGAATTTCGTACCGGCAACGCGGCAGAACGTGGCAGATACGGCGATAGTAGTGGGAGTGTGCAGCGGTGAGTGATATAATTATAGATTTAATATTATATTATATGTACGTATTAGTAGTTTTATACCCTTGAAGGCGCATCTCTTCTTCGAATTTATATGAAACAACCTTTATTTTTTATTCATTGCCAAAAAAAATCATATAACTCGGTTCACTGTTCGCGTAGATATCACGTGACATCTAAAAAGCAACCGAATTGAGTATCACCTCCTTTTTTGAAGTTAATATTAAAAATAGCATACATAGAGACAGGTCATATTGTTTTTATAATACGTATAGATAAAAGCGTCAAACTGGATTAACGTTATGTTTCTGGTGTGCGATATTTGGAACGATGAGAGATTGTCCTCAACTTTTGTCATCCCAAAACCGTGATAGATATGGTTTTATAATCAGAACTAGCAACTCACCCTCATTCCGCTCGGGTTCGTTCCCATGGTACGTTTTGACGGTTAGTATAGATTTCTAAAAGATTAGATATTTTCCCGTAGTAAAAAGTATCGTATATGTTGACCCGGATTACCAGCTATCAGTATACTAAATTTTATCAAAATCTGTCCAGTGGTTTTCTCGTGGCGCGTTCCCAGACAGACAGATAGACAGACAGCGAGATAGACAGACATACTAACAGACAGACAGACAGACTGATGAGACTGAAGAATCCTAAAAACTATAGATTCAGTTTTTGTATCGATAATAATGAGTATTCCAATAAGATTTTCCAAAAAATATTTAATATATAGATTCGACTAAGTTAGAATTTTATTTTATGTTTAGATTTAGTACCTTATATATCGATGGGTGCCTGGAACAAGACCGCAATAGCCATAGTAGCTGTTTTCCGATTAAGCCATTTTCGTAATCTACGGACCCTATTACACCTTGTGGATTTTTTTCACAAATTAATAATGAAAACTGCCTGAGATAGCAAAAGCAGTATGGATATTCTCTCGTTATTCCCCGTTCATCGTTCGAATTTTGTTTGCCGGAATAATCGTGCTATGTGCAATGATAAAAGTTTTTTTCAACCTTCTACAACTAACGGCCATTGCGGCTTTGTTCCCCGAAATAAACTTAGTATACCGATTCACAATAAACATTGCTGTACAAATATTTTAAACTTTCACTAGTAATAATAATTATGGTTTTCTTCCATGAAATAAAAATATGTCGATTGATTTTCAATAAACACTGTATGTATGTAATCGATGTACTGTTTTTCTCACATTAGTTTTTAAATACCAAAAGTGTGTTTATCAATATGCCTACCTAAATGCCTGCCAGATGATATTGAATAAGTAGTTATTATATTATTATTGTTGTGACACATCACATAGGTGCATCTTAAAGTAATAAAATATTATATTATTATTATTTTTGTATGTATAGTAAATGAAAACTACCAATCAGTTATTTTTTTACTTTTGAGTGCTTTTTTTAAAGTCGGTTTTTATTTTTTTTGTTAAAAACTTTTTATTTTTTCCTTCTTAGTGTAGACAAGTAGCAAAGTGAGAAGAAAGTATTTCAATAAAATATTTTTGCTTAAACCGTTTAAGTTACTTTGTTGCTAATTTTAATATAAAGACTGACAAACTAAAATTCACTTTTATTATTAACACTAAAAATTCTGGCTCTAAAATCCGATTCTAACGTGTTAGGCTTGTCAAATCAAACAAAATAAGCCCAAACTCAAAGTACTATTAGCCTTTACTTTACTATTAGCCGTTGAAGAGTTCCACCTATCCACCTTCTGGCCTTACCATCAGATCAGGTCAACGATACCGAACCACTGCACTATGAACAGAAATAGAAGCACTTGCAAAGTTTCAAGTCAATATGATAATTAGAAGTAGGTTAAATTCATCATTAGGTATTTTTCCACCCTTAGTGGTGTTATATTTTTTGAAATTTAAAAGGGACCAATCTGGAAGTATACACTTTCAAACAAAACAAAAATTGTCCAAATCGGTTAATAAATGACAGAGTTCTGAGGTAACAAACATAAAAAAACATGCAGCCGAATTGAGAACCTCCTCCTTTTTGAGGAAGTCGGCTGATAAAAATATCTTCATCAGAAATATTAAAAGTAGATACCATACTATTAGTTTAAGCACACCCAAAACACAAAAATCAAATTAGAAATAACGAAGAAATGGGGTATTTTGTGGGTATAGAATTAAAATCCCCTCGAGAACATAACTTTCAGATTCATTATAACTCTGACACTACAAGTTAAACGTTGAGTGTAAATAACCAGGAGAACAACGAGGAGTCACTGTATCAATAAAAGATATAGTACTTGCCGAAGATACACATTCTAGATTTAATGTCTCTTGTCTATGTCAAGGTGTGGTAGCGCCATAGATTTGAAGATCTCGGAATTCGATACTACACAGATTAAAACCAGAGAATATTACAGTTTCCGACTCAAGTCAAACATTGTTATGCAATTTAGGTAGAATTTCAGAAGATAATAATTATAATTCTTGTTCTATCTTGAACCCCGTGGTCCATAACATCTCATCACTAATTCTGCCCTCTGCAAAAGAACTACGAAATAGCACAATAAGCTATTTACAAAATATTGAGACTTATAATAATATTATGCCATTATTTATCAGACGCACTTGCAATGAATGACATAGTTAGTGGCGAGAAATATAAAGTGATAGAGATGGATCAATCTGACTTTGTCGATATAAAAATGCTTATTGAAGGCCGAAATTGGACGCATGACTCTGAGGGAAATAAAATATTGTGGTCCAATATTATGGAAGTTGTTGCGGGTACTCATGAGGGTATACTGAACTTAAAATACAGTTTTGAAGAAGATTATATTATAGAGTTCCACGCGCATACGGAGTTACACACACAGGGAGCTACAATGGACCACAACTGGTCGACGTAGTAATGGCCGACCTCGGCACCACTTCCAATAAAATATAATAAATAATAATACACACTCGTGATCTACCAGCCAGATTTCCTACTCGAGGCGCCCGGGCACGGTGGACGCACACGAAGTGGACGTTCTTGAGGTGCACAAATACTCCGTGCTGCTGCTACTCCTACTGCTAAAATTCCAATCGTCTCCAAGCTGCAAAGGGCGTACAATGAACCATTTCCTGTGCCTAAAGCCTTGCACTCAGACTTATTAAGTCTTTGTAAAAATAATGACATACCACGCCACTACCATGATTTTTATGAGGTTTTGGCATGCGAAACTGTTGAGGATGAAGTACTCGTAGCAGAACATTATTCCCAAGAAGACACACCATTTCTTTATGGATAATTTTGTTAATTCTTTTTGATACCTACCAAGATTGTAATATTGTTTCTGGTTTCATTTATGTAGATAGACTTTGATAATGATAAAAAAGCGTCAAAATTAATACTTTAATACATTTTAGATCGCAGAAATGTAAACAACCTGAAGACTATGTTATTGTTCTGGTAAATAGGTATATTGGTATTTTTTCTTATGACTTAATTATGCAGTGTCCAAAACTTTAAGTAAAAATAATAAATACATAATAATAAATAATCACGTTATATTCTAGATTGATTGTAGTCATTCCAAAACAACCATATTCATATAATGTACACAGCATTCACAAGTACATTTTCCAAGTCGATCATTAAATTCATGTAACATCACTGCAAAACGCTATTACTGTATTCACCATACATCCTCCAGATCAGCGTACAACGTTGCAATAGACTATTGCTGTCTGATTGATTTAGCACTTTTTACCGGAATAAAACCACAATGGATTCTTACGGAAACGACATTCAATGTATGAAGCGGCAATATGATTTTTTACTTGTTTTTAGGTATTTCCTTAGAATTATAAGCTTATGTACATTATATATCAGCCCAGAAAAAAATAACGCATCTTTTGATATATAAACCGTTTTGATGAGCCTCGTAGTTTAGTAATTATTCATGATTTTCACTAAATCTTTTTTCCTGTAAAATTGTATTTTGTCGATTGCGGCTTTGTTCCAATAACCCATCGATATGGTTTCATGTCTTACTTACCCTTCGAAACTCGTAACAAGCTCAGCTTTTAGTTTACGAAGATCTTTTGCGACATTACTTTAACGGATTGTTTTCTACTTTAAAGTTTAAAAGGGGAAAAAGAAACTCTATTTAATAGGTAAGTACAGTTAAAGCCTGAAAGCGTGTCACCATAAACTAATCGAATGGTCTTCTAATAAACCTACTTTACCAGTCTTAGATATTATTAATACATATTATAAATTGGAGTCTTCTACAGTGAGTTTGTTGTTATTCGGTCTTATTTCAAAAACTACAATGGTTTTCATCAATAGAAAAAGGATTTTCCAGGTTATAGGCTATATTTTTTGAGCATTTGGCGAAAATAAGTATTCGATATGATGACATTTCTCATAATATGACATTTGGCCTATCAGGACAAATTCACAAACCACCGGTTAAGCTGTTTAGTAATTACGAGGGAACATAGCATCGAAATTATGTACACACATAATATGTATAAATGATTCGAAGTCAAACACATTACTCTCTTTTTGGGCTTCACCACAATTGGGTAAACGTCTATATAGATAAACAAAATTGAGGTGTCTGTTTGTAATGTCAAAATAACAGCTTTTTACTAAATGCATATGGATGTATACACGGTATAAGTACCAAGACAACATTGTCTGTATGTTTGTTCCAAATAATCTCTGAAATGGCTGGACCGATTTTGACAGGACTTTCACTGGCAGATAGCTGATGTAATAAGGAGTAACTTAGGCTACTTTTCTTTTAGAAAAAAAATAGGGTTCCACGAAAAGAAATAAAAACCAATGAAAAATTTAATAATATTCAAATAGGGGAATTGTATAGATACCCTAGTGACGAACCCGAGCGAAGCGAGAGTGAGTCACTAGTCTAAATAATATATTCAGTGTTTTATATAATATGTTGTTTACATTTTATTATATGAATAGATTCCAAAATACGTAAAACAGTGACCACGTAATGTGTTTCGCGTCCAAGCCGACAAGTGTGAACAGCGCAATTTGGTTAAAGCCGAATGTAATTAAGCTGGATTTATGAACATATTAGAAGCAGTTATACTATGTGCTAGCCAGTATTGTATGTACTCATTGGCCCCTTACTAATACACTATACCAGTATAGGGAGTATTTTCTATATACTTATATATTTATATGTATGTAAGTGAAATATCGTAATAATATATACATAGTGTTCATTGATGACGACACGCTTGGCTCAGTTTTAGTGCCCTAGGCATTCCTTTTTTTTATGAGCACGAATATTTGTACTCCAGTTATGGGTGTTTATATTTATAATATGTATGTATTTAAAGTTATATATGTGTAGTGTATCAACTATCTGGTATCCATAACACAGGCCTCGTAGCTTACCATGGAACTAGATAGTGCTGTGGCAACATATTTATTTTATTTATTGACCCCTTACTAATACACTGCGTGGAAAGTTTTTTCTATAGTAAATTATACATATGTAATATATCACTACATATTTACAATATATAATATATATATATATATATATATATATATATATAATATAAATGAGCAGTCATTAACAAATAAATCAGCTGCTAAAAATATAATACAGATTCAAAGTAATTGTAGCATTCAATACCATTCGACACGTTTACTTGCCTCATTTTGCAGTTACAATGGTTTTAACGAGGCTCGATCACAGGTGTTGTAAGAAATTTATTATATTCCGTCCCCTGATCTTTTATTGTTAGGACGCTGAATTACAATATTTTAGGTATGTACATTTTCTTAATGTGACAGTCGTAAATTTATATTTTTATTTTATACTAGCGGCTCATCCTTGCTTCGCTCGGGTTCACCTCTAGAAATGTAAAAAACAGATCTATCTTTATACCTTTCATATTTCCGGGATTAAAAGTAACCTGTTGTTTGACCGGCAATTAAAGTGCATGCAAAATTTTACTAAATTAGGTGCATAAGTTGTTGTGTACTAAGCTGTATCTTATTCGAGATGAAAATTATCTAAAATGTTGACCGGGGATATAAGGTACCGCCATGCAAAATTTTATTTAAATCGGTCCAACAATTTCGGAGAAACAGACAAAAAGAGAAACAAAACACTTAAAAAATCTGGATTTGTTCTATTTCTCCTCTTATATCCCCCTGACTCGGTTTTTAGCTTTTTTTTGCTATGTACAAACATTAAACATTTGACCTCTACAGTTTTTTTGTATGTATAGATATATGTATAGATGATTATAATTTGCATATACATATGTATAATACACCGTAAGAGTTATCAAATCTAGATAAGGAGGAACCAGGCAATATAATAATAAATATTTTTACAATATTGTATTGATGTGTGCCCGATTTGTTGACATTTATTATTATTGCTCCGCTGCCTCGGTTAGTAGCATGATGATATATAGCATCTTAATGCAATTAGTAGTTCCTGAGATTAGCGCATTCAAACAAACAACAAACAAACAAACTCTGTCTGTTTATAATATTACTATAGATTGTCCAGTCGTTTTCAAGTATTGAGCAAACCAAAAGATAGACATAATTTTGACATACTACGAAACTTAAACCAAAACAGTTAGTAATATTTAAGTTTTTTAATCAAAAAAGTTTTAAAACAGCTAGTTATGGGCATAGATAAGAATGAAAGTATTTTATTTTCATAGGTTGTAAATCGCTTATTTTATTTCGTGAACGGAGATGAAATGCGTTGTTCAATAACAATAAAAAAGTCGGTGATAAACTTTGGGAAGTGAACTATTGTGGGTGGTTTTAAGGGAAGGAAATTTATGACCTGAAGACCTTATCTACTATTAAATAAAAGCTCACACTATTCACATAAATGTTAAGTCTTGTGAGTGATTATAACTTATATTTTGCACTAGCGACTAACCCTCGCTTAGCTCGGGTTTTCTAAAATAAAAGTAGTCATGTTAGTTCCTATAACGTCAGCTATCTTCCAGTGAAAGTCCCGTCAAAATCTGTCCAGCCGTTTCAGAGGGTTTCCGGAATAAACAGACAGACAAAAATAAAAAAAAATGTTTTTCTTATAAGTACCATATATAATTTCTTATGGACTTAGTAAAACGCTGTTATTTTGACATTACAAATAGATACTTCAATTTTATTTATCTGTATAGAATAGCATAACCCGCGGCTTTGCCTGCTTTCTAAGTACAAAAAAACAGCACTTTAGCTTTATAATATTATAACTCAAAATTTATGAATGTAACCATTTTCGAATGTGTAAATATAATTAATATAATTTTGACTCGCACATTGAGGTTCCATACCACCGAATATCATGATGTAACGTAACAATTTTAGACACATAAATAACTTTTTTCGATTTCGCAATAAATACTTTATTATTTGCAAAAATAAGTTCGTGTTTCATATTATTTATTACAAATATTGTGGAAAAAATTTTTACGTACATAAATATATTCTGTAAATTATGTTTTTCAATAAAATTATTAAGCAAGCCGTTACCGCTATTTTTTAAACATTTTTTAATCCATCTTTCCAAAGCTAGGAGGACAGTACAATGATAGAACTCGCATACAATGTCTACGACGTTAGAATTATGAAACTGGCTTATATGGATTTTATAAAAACATCAACACCCCCCTTTTAGTATATAAGTATGTTATATTTCCGTACAAAACATTAAAAAAATTACAGAGTTTCATACAAACTTTCATCCCCTATTTTACCCCCTTAATGGATAAATTTCGAAAAACTCTATAACACATTTTTATTTAATTGTATTGAATAGTGTTAATGCCATTAACTTTTTCGTTCATTTCACATTAAAAATGACATACTTTCATACAAATTTCATCCCTTATTTTACAACTTTAGGGGTGGAATTTTCAAAAATCCTTCCTTAGTAGATGTTTACAAAATGCAATAACTGCCAAAATTTCAAGTTTTTAACCCCTGTGGCTCTGCGTCGAATGAAAATAATTTGTGTTGAGTCGCAGATAAAATCTCGTATAGTGATGTTTTTAACATATGAAATATATAATGAAAATTGCCTTAGATATAACGTATAAGGCAAAGAGAATTGACAACGCAAAACAAAGTAATTCTTTCTTCTTTAAAAATATTTGTATATTTTATGCTCAGAAACAGTATAAATTAGACCAGGGCTGAATGAAGCCTTTGAAAATGGTACTAAAAAGTGAAAAAATAATAAAAGTAGGACGAAACCCATTGGAAAAGG